TGATAGACAATTTATACATTCTTAAGAAAGCGAAGCTTCTTGTGGCTTGCTTTAATGGAAAAGTGGCTTATGGATGAGGTTTCAAGTTGGGCTGCTGCTGCTGTTGTTTCTATTTCAAGTGGCTTTTGAGCACTTTCTTCTTACCTCTGCTTAGCCCGTGCCAATGTGGCAACAACAATGATAAGTCGAGTCGCATGCCGAGGCACGTAATGAGCGAGTGATGTTAGGCATTGAGTGCATAACATGACCACTTCAACTTCGAAGCAGCATCTCTCTCTCTCTCTCTCCCTCCCACTCGCTCGAAGCAATGAGGTGGGAATGGGCGTGGGCGTGGGCGTACGCTCAAGGGTAAACTGTGGCTTCACTTGACTTTCTTTTTCAACTTCAATTGCAATTGGCCAACAGCTCCAGAAGTTGTGCGTGTGTGTGTGAGCCTATTATTTGTAGCTTTATTTGATGCTATTGTTGTTGTTGTTGTTGCTGTTGTTGTTGTTGTTGCCGTTGCTGTTGCTGTCGCCGTTGTCGTTGCTTTTATTAGGGGCAGGTGCGTCATTATGCCGCTTATTACAACAATATTTGTATCTTATTACGTGTTTAATTTTGTCAGATTATGCGCCCACACACACAGACACACACAGACACACACACACCAGCACACGCACAGTCTAACTGACGAAACAAGCTAATAAGTCGGTTTAATTATTTTTATTGGCCTTGCGTTCGACTTTCATAAATTGCCATGATAAATACGTATGTTTATATATGTATATAGACACGTATATGTATGTTAATAGACAGGCCAATACGACAGCATATTGGCTTAGTCAGCTGATAATCTTGCGGCTTATCGAAATCTTCTCAAGATCTGCTTTGGACTGTTGATGGATTCTCTATTATGATTATAAGGTATGCTAGCCTTCGCAAATGCAGACTGTTCCCTAAAAGGTGCTCGAATATGGGTTTTGCTCAGCTTAAAGTTGACTTTAATTTCGCTTCTTCAGTGACTACTGTAACAACTTGCTATAGTATATGAGCTGGCTATAGCTTTAGCTTTCTTTCTCTCTCTTTCTTTTTCTTTGTAAGCCTCTTTTTCCCTCTTCAATTAAGAAACAGGGACTCAGCGACTATCGAATAACATTTCTTCAAGATGAACTTTCCTATTGAACTTTCCTAGTGAACTCAATTTGCTTGTATTTGCCTAAACAGTAGTTGAAATTCGTGATTTGTGAATTTGGAGGGATGAAAGGAGGTATTCAAAATCCAAATTTCCAATTACAAATTCTCTGTATTTATAATGGAAACCTACAAATGATCGATTTTTATCGATAATAAGAAAATGGGCTGAAGATAAACTTGCACGGCTTGTCATCCTGATCAGGAATATATATGTCTCTGCCACGCTTCCTTCTGTCTGTTATATGCATTTTTCCATTTTCCATTTTCACTGGGTTCAGGTTATAAAAAGTAAAGCCATCAGAGTATATATATATATATATATATATAATATGAATATATGTAAGTGTTCCTAGCTGCAATAAAATCTGAGTTATTGTACAGCACACGCAAGAAAAATAGTAGTAATAATAATAATAATATTAATCATAGTTGCAAGGACAACAAATTACGCAGGACTAGCGCAAAGCTTCTCGCTTTGCCCCGTTTTCTTTTGCTGGTTTCCTTTGACTCGTGCCCAAAAGCCAACTCACATTTGTAGCATTTGCGTTCGCTTTTGTTGTTGTTATGCAAATTGGCTTCGATTTTGCATAGTTTCCGTGTGGGTCAAAGAGCCGCAACAGTTGTGACATTGCGAGCACTGGCAGCACACACTCACACACACACACACGCACACACACTCACTCTCAGTCTACTCGAGTACCTTTCTAGCTGGGCCAGGGAAGGGCGGGGGCTTTAGCTGAATGTGTTGCCTACTTTGCCGCACCAGAATGCAGCTGCAACTGTGGCTGCAGCAGTCGGGCGTAATCGACAGCGCAATACTCGTTTGCAGCTAAATGTATTCTTGATATCCATAGACAGTTTTTAAATGCAAAGCCTTCAAAACTGGATGATCTTGGATCTCTTAATTCTATAGATAAACTGAACAAAGGGCGACTCTTTATTTAGAATAATGAGATTGCAGATCTGCCTGAATTGCCACAGCTTTATAAGCTATACATTATTTATGTATGAGTCTGTATACTGCCAAGTTTCAAGTCTTTGTTAGTCTCTCGTAACCAATAAACTCTTTTTCGACTCGTGAACGAGCATAAAAATGTCAAATAAAAAGGGAGAAGAGAATAATAGGAGCTGCTATAATATTGCTGCTGCTGCTGCTGCTGCTGCTGCTGCTGATGATGATGCAATGCAAGGAAACCTCCGTGAAGCAGTCGTAAAAAGCTGCAAATCAGACGTGGAAAGCTGAGGAGCTGGAAAAGTGGAACGCTGGAAACCTTTATGTCGCAGCGAACAAATTGCTGGCAGTTGGCTTAGAAAATGGCCAACTACGAAAATAGAAATTGCAGCAGAATTTCTATTGCCAATTAGCAGCGCGCTTTCAATAGCAATTCAAATCGAGTCGAGTTCAGTTCCCAAATATGGCCAAAAGCAATCACTCGATGTTTCCAACAAATCCACAAAATGCACCATTCACGAAGCTCGCAGATATTTCAATTAAATTGTTGCCGCTGCTCTTAATAAACGTTTGTCTGCACTTGTTGTAGGTGTTGCAATTGTTGTTGTTGCTGCTGCTGTTGCTGTTGCTGTTGCTGTTGCTTTGCTGTTGCTGACCTTAATAACTTTGCTGGTTGCGCTTTACCTATGTAACCACAAATAAATACTATATAACTCTGCATATGCACAGCTATGCAGTGAGAGAGTGCGAGAGAGAGCGGCAGAAAGAGAGACAGAGACAGAGACAGACAGAGAGAGGGTGAGTGAGTGAGAGAGATTTGCCAATAAACGACGTATAAACGCCGTTGACACGGATAAAAGCCGGCGCCAACTGGAAATGGCTGGGCCAAGTGGGCGCTGCTTGACGCTGCTCTAAATACCCTGTAAACGAGCAAAAGAGGTCGAATCCGATTGTCTAAAGGATTGACTGACTACAACTAATTGATCAGTATCAATACTCGGGCTAATCTAGCCCAGTCAATTCGAGTTCACTATTTCCATGAAATCCTCAAAAAACTTCGATATATACTTGCTGCACGCCCCACTCGAGCACTTTTACTGGTTTCTTTTTTGGTTTTGTGGCAATTGAGAAATGGCCGCAATGAGATTCCCAACTGGGTGAAGGTTGTGTCGCAGCAGACGGCATCAGCCAACAGCAGCAGCAGCAGCAGCAGCAGCAGCAATAATTTCATATAAAATTTGCTCGACTGGATGATTTTGCTTCAGTTAACATTACATTTAATTAAAGAGCAGCACACACGCACACACACAGGTTATGTGCGTTGCACGCGCCCACGCACAATGATGCGTGCGTCAAATTCGCGCGAACGCCAACGCGCTAATAACTAGGAAAGCACGAAATGAAAGAAGAAAACGAGCAACTGAAATTTACCTGTGATTATTTCTCATGATAAAGTATAATTTAAAAAAAAAAATATATATATATATATATATATGTATATTTAAGCAGAAATAATTGCATTAACAATTCTGATATTGACTTGAAAGATATTCCATTCAAGTTTTCATGAATTGCCAAGGACTCAGCATGCTGCTTACATTTCTATATAATTCATATATCAAACTGCTTTAAATATAATTAAATATATGCAAAAAATCTGCTCAAAATGGCTGGGAAACATTTCATACTCTCTAATAAGATTCTCTATACAAGAGACAAGTTTTGTCAGCAATTTCCAACTTCAAATCTTCAAATATTTTCTAAATACTCACGTAAACAGTTCGATTTTTTTATTCCTTCAATTAGAACCAAATAAGAACAAGAAAGTTGAGAAAACCAAATTTTTTTAGGAACTAAAGTGAGGCATTAGCTTAGAGCTTGCAAATGATCAAAGAAATTGCTTATTTAGAGATTTAAAAAATATATATATATCGGAAATCGAATGCTAGACGACTACACTATAAGCCCATTTGAATGTCTTTGAAACCTTAACAATTAGAATCTATTTAAACTAATCTATTTTTTAGATGCAATATATGTATATATATTTATATATATTGTTATATATGTATTATATATATAAACATATATTTGTATAGATGTATTATATATATATAAAGTAATATATATTTTATATATATTTATATTTATATATATATTTTATATCAACTCTCTTTGACTATTAAAATGCTATAGAGTATAGCAACACACGGCCAATTCGATCTGCTCACGCTTCGATTTAAATTTTCACTAAATTAATTTTGCATAAGAAATAAAGTCAATTATAATATGTATATAAATAATTGGAAAAATAGGAAAATAAAATTAAAACCTAAATAAAAATAAATAAAACGGAAATAAATCTCAAATTATTTTTGGAATAAGCTTCAGAAAAACTCAACTCAAGTCAAGTCAAGTCAAGCTGAACTTATTCAGAAATATAAAACGAACTCGGATTTAACGCCCAGCTGAACATAGGCTGATAGGCATATGTATATAGAGGTATATATATACGTATATATACCTGTGTATACCCTATTCCATTCATTATTTATGCGGGTGTATGTGGGTCGACTGTCGACTAGGATGACCTTAGACTGTGCGCAAGTGCCGAAGCTATAAAAATTTAATAAGCACACACTCATCTATATGTACATATGTATGTGCACTGGCAATACAGATATATATCTATATATATAATTATATTTAGAAACGAAACTGCGTATTGTAATTTTCTAGCTAATTAAGATTCAATAATCGTTTCGGCCAATCAAGAAACAATATTTTAATGGAATTATTTTCGATTTCTTTTCTTCCCCCTTCTCTCTGTCTCTTCCTGTGTCCCTCTCTCCCTCTATGCGACGTGGTTTAGGGCGGCTATCCGGCACGGCTGAAGAAAGTGCTCATTGTGACGGCGCCGCTGTGGTTCAAGGCGCCATTCAAGATACTTCGCCTGTTTGTGCGGGAGAAGCTGCGCGAACGAGTGTTCACTGTATCGGTGCCGCAGCTGAGCCTGCACGTGCCGCGCAAGGCGCTGCCTGTGCATCTTGGCGGCACGCTGGAAATCGATCACGCCACATGGTTGCTAAATTGCCGCAAATCGATGACGAATCGTGAAGACGAACTGCTTGCCAATATAGTCGGTGTGGGCGTTGGCGTTGGTGTGGGCGTGGGCGTGGGCGTGACAGCCGCAACTACAAGCACAGCAAACGCAGCAAACACTTCGACCGCAGCGTCAGCGACGCCGCTCACCAACGGCAGCAGCGCTGCCAGCGCCGTAGCAGCAACAATCATCAGCGCCGTGCATCAGTTGGCCGAAAGCAACACAACAGTCGTCACCGTTAGCGGGGAGCAGCGAACGGGCGGCGGCGACGGCGGCGGTGGCAGCAGCGAGGAATCGGAACCCAACGAGAACATCACAATTAACGGACTGAGCCCCAGTCATCGGACAGGTGCGTCTGCGGCGACGGCTACGGCTGGTGCTCTGCTCAAGCTCAATACCAGCGGCATTCAGCAGACTAACGGAGCTGCAGGTGGCATTGCTGCAACAACAGCAGCAGCAGCAGCAGCAGCAACAGCAGCAGGGGGCCCAGCAGCAGGAACAACGACAACGGCGACGACAGCCGACAGCGCTGTCAATGGCAGCGCCACTGGCGTTGCCAGCAACGGCAGCGCCGGTGAGTTTTGGTCGGAGAATCCGCCAAGCAGCGCCTCATCCGGGTTCAGCGATGATGACAGCCTGGCAGGACAGGAGGGCGATCCCAAAACGATCGACCAAATCGTTCAAATGGTGCGCGAGCGCGGACGCCAGGGCCTAATCAAAGAGTATGCGGACATCAGGAATCGGGCGCCCGAGGGCACCTTCCTGCATGCGCGGTAAGCCCAAGTCCAGCCGACCCAAGCAATGTGCCAATCCCTACTTACGTCTGTGGCATTCCCCTTGTTCTTGCAGCATGCGCAACAATCTGACCAAAAATCGCTACACAGATGTCCTCTGCTACGATCACAGTCGCGTGGTGCTGGCTCGCGAGGACGAGGACGAGCTGTCCGACTATATAAATGCCAATTTTGTTGATGGCTATAAACAGAAGAATGCCTATATTTCAACTCAAGGTAAGGCGGGGGTCGCCGACGAAACGAAAACGAAAACGAATCGATGAGGCGACACTGCTATGGCTTCCCAGACTCAGGCAGCCCTAGAGTCCACTAATGTATTCTCTGGTGTTGCCTTGCCTTGTAGGTCCATTACCAAAGACATCCCAGGACTTTTGGCGCATGATCTGGGAACAACATTGCTTAGTTATAGTTATGACAACGCGCGTTATGGAGCGCGGACGTGTTAAGTGCGGCCAATACTGGGAGCCGACTGAAGATAGTTCCTTGGACTTTGGCAATTACCATGTGCGAACAATAAGCGTCGAGAGCAATGAGGACTACACCGTTGCATCCCTAGAATTGAGAAACCTAAAGGTAAATCGAGTCAACCCGTGTCTCTCTGTCTCGCTCTAACATCTCTTTGTCTGTCCCGCTCTGTCTAGACTGACGAAATTCGCAATGTGTCACATTGGCAGTTCACCAGCTGGCCGGACTATGGTGTGCCCAGCTCAGCGATGGCCATGCTGAACTTCTTGCAGAAGGTGCGCGACAAGCAGGCGCAACTGGTGCGCGCCCTGGGCGATACCTGGGCTGGTCATGTGCGCGGTCCGCCCATTGTGGTGCACTGCAGCGCTGGCATTGGTCGCACCGGTGAGTTGAGCCTCTTTGGCGCCTGGAATATGAGAGTAAATAATTCGAATCGTTGCCACTTTTCAGGCACGTTCATTACGCTGGACATCTGCATATCACGTCTGGAGGATGTGGGCACGGCGGACATACGCGGCACAGTTGAGAAGATACGTTCGCAGCGCGCCTACTCCATACAAATGCCGGATCAATATGTGTTCTGCCACTTGGCGCTAATCGAGTATGCCTATTCGCGGGGCATGCTGCAAACGGTCGATCTGGCGGGCTTCGATGAGCGGGAACAGGACTCCGAGTAGGGCTTCAACACACACACAGAAACACACACACACACACACACACAAGCAAATACACAATCCAAATTGCAGCCACAAGGAATACATATTGTATACAGATTACTTATATACCAGCTTTTTTTTTTATAACTATTATTTTATAAATATATAATATATTATTATTATTATTATTATTATTATTATTATAAATTGCAATTGTAATTTTGTATTAGCTGCTACATTAGGCAAACGATCTATGTTTATTTTGTAATAATAATCTTTTTTTTTAAACATAAATACACGAGTATATATACATATATATATAGAGAGAGAGAGAGAAAGAGAAAATGGAAGAGGCAGATAGCGAGAGATAGATGTATATGAAAGAGAAAAAGCAAGCGCAAGAGCAAGCGAGAGCGAGTGACTCGAGCTCATTGAAAATTGTAAAGTTGAGACTATTTCTGTGTATGTTCTTATTATTAATATATTATTTAAATTGAATGTGAACTGTGAAATGTGAAATGTGAAATGTGGAAATAAATGTGTAGCTGCAACTGTGCAAGCAAGGTAATTGCTAAACCATTTCTGGCACACACGCACACTCTCAAGTTGTGCGTGTGTGCGTGTTCTAGTTGTAATTTATCGAAAGCTCTTTCTATATATATATATCCGTATATTATTTAATTGTAAATCCTTAGTGCGCACTTCTTGAAAGCAGGACGTGCATATATCGATATACATACCCAAACACACACACACACACACACACACACACACAGGCATACCTACGTAGTATGTATATGTATATGTATTTGTATTTATACCAAGTTTTATGTAATGTACGTAATTAATATTTAAAAAGTTTATTTGATACACAGAATCAGAAAATGAAGCATATTTTTTTTTGAGGAAAGAAAAAACTAAAACAAACACACACAAACCTAACATATACCCTGTCCTACAATACCCTACCGTAACCTACTCTCCACGCCCCTTCCCTACCCCCGCAATTCCTCTAATTAACAAGAATTGTAACTGTAATTGTAATGTACATTTACTTAAATTAAATTAAATTAAATTAAAAATTGAAAACAACAAAAAACCTAAACAAAATATAAAAACTAGTTAAAAGAAAAACAAAATAAAAGAGATCAGCATTATGCGAGTTTTGCAAAAAAAAAAAAAAAAAAAAAAAAACAAAACGAAACGAGAAAAAAATCAAATAAAATTTAACATTGCTAAAAAACAAACAAACAAACCAAACAAAATGAAACAACAGACGAACATTTATTTAACAGGCCGACTAAAGTTAACTATAAGCAAAAGCTGCATGAAAGATATTTAAGATAATTAATTGAAATGACGCTTAGATAGAAATGTGGCAAAGTACAACGAAAGGAACGAGACGCGGGGTCAGGGCAACAGACGAGTAGGTCAGCAAACGGCGACGGCGACGGTGACGGCGACGGAAACGGAAACGAAGCCCCAACCAAACAAACAAAATAAAAAGATAAAAAGAAAAAGCAAAAAGCAAAACGAATAACAAGTTGATACCGTCCGGCGGTTAAACGGAGTAGAATACCAAAGTCAATAAATGTTAAAGTATTTAATTATAGAAGTAGCAAGTGCAGCTGGAGTGACCACGATATTTTTTTTATATGTAATTCAAGTAAATAATTTTTCAATTTTATAAAACAACAAATAGAATGTTTAAGCAGCTTGCTGCCAGAATTCCTACAATCAACTACAAAAACAAAAGCAAAACAAAAAATATCCTAGTTACATAGACAAACATACATAAAATATATATATAATAATATATAGATCTATATCTTAGAGATATCACAATTTCTAAGACTTGTTCAACTGTTTTCTCACCCACACTGATTAACAGTTACGCAACAGCATTATCTGCCCTCACCCCCTTAACTGTCCGAAAGTTGAACCCACCAGGCCACATCTTGAAGAAGAAGAAAATTCGTCTGTACCAAAATTTCAAGCGCTTTATAAGAAACTCAACGTTAATTGTAAGAAAAACAAATAAATTATATATATATATGTATATATATATATGTATGTATATATATATAATTATAAAATAGAAAATGAAAAAACCGTCTTACTAGCTGTTGATTGTTATAACATGAAATGTTTTTTTTGTCTTCTCAAATATTTATTTATTTATTTTTTGTTTGCTTTTCAGCAGGTAGCATAAAATTAATTGTATTTGTAGTGGAATTTTTAATAAACATTTTGCCAAGTAAATGATAGAGGAGAGTCCCAGGCAGATGTATATATATATATATATATATATATATATATATATATATATATATATATATATATATATATATATATATATATATCTGCAGATGCAATGCCTTCTTTTCAGAGGACGAAGTGGATGCGGATGCAGCTAGAAAAAAACTACAACTAAAATTGACATATTTTGTATTACCTTTTTAAATGCTAAACAAATCGATATAAAAAATTTGAACTATTAATTAACAAAAAAAAAGGAAAAAAACATGAATTCTTAGTTGTGCGTGGCAAAGAAATATAAAAACAACATTAAACTGGCAGCTTTTTACATACAACTAACAAACAAAAAGATTATTAACAAAAAAAAAGAAAAAAAAAAAGAGAAAATAAAAATTTGTGTAAAATTTGTAAAAGTAAAAAAACGAAAAAGTATTATTAACTATAAGTATGTATGGAGTAGCTATGTGCATATATATGCAAATTGTGGGCGGGACTTTCGAGTGCATTATGCACACACACACACGCAAACACACACATGCGCATATATATAAAAGTATTTTTGGTGCAAATTTAGTAAAAGAAACAAATTGAGGATATTTAAAGCAAAAAACAATACACAAATACTTTGTTGGCCACACTCACACACACACACACACACACACACACGTTTGTATATCATTAGAATTGTAAAAGCTGTGATCAACATAATGAAAACAAAGAAGAAAAAAAGAAACAAAATGAGAAAATTGAAAAGCGAATCAAATCACATCGCACTGCATACACACACATACACACACACACACACACACATACACACACATGCAGACTAGTCTCAAGCCCAGATTTGCAGCAAGTTTAAAGAACTTAAAATTAAAAAAATATATAGAAAATATAAGAAAGTTATGTAATCCATTGCAATTGATTAACTGAATAGCAAATGCCAGTCAATAGCTTACGAACATCAACCGAAACAAACTAATGCACCAACTCTACATACACACATACATACATACATATACACAAACATACATACAAATATATACATTTTCAATTCTTTCAAAGGCCTTTTCGAAAACGCGAAAAAAAAAACAAAAAACAACCGTAAAATATTGCTCTACTCAAAAATTGAAAAATTGAAAAATTCAAAAATTAAGCTCTATTTTTGTAATGCTTCAAATCGAATCAAAGTATGCATAATACCCATTATATATATATAACCACTCACACACACACTCACATATATAAGCATAAATTATATGTACAGTCTGTGTCAGCAAATGTTTTTTCTTCTTCTTTTCGTAGTCTGAACAAAGAGAATTTATTTAATTGTATAGAAAATATTTGGCTAAAGACATGAATATATTATACGTAATTAATATGATCAAATGACTTAGCGAAATTTCTTCAACTTTAATGTACAATTAGTTAGTGTCACACACACACACATACACACTCACACACACACATAATGGCCAGGCTATCTGCGTTTGACGCTGCGTCCAGTCTTTGCCTTTGTAAAAGCATTTACCCACACAGAAACACCCACACACACACACACACACACACACATAAGACATAACAGCGAACAGAGATTGTTATCCAGCCCACCCAATTCAGCGCACCTTAACCTTTAACCTTAGCCCAAACCTAACTAAACTTTAACCTTAAACAAATAGACGAATCTCCGAGGAACGCGTCTATTGTGGCTCGTTGTCCAATTGGATGACGTCAGCACACTTCAGTCACTATCCTACATGCCTATGTGTAGGCGTTTACATATATACCTATTTCAACTATAATGCATCCAGTGTCCAGAAGAAGATAAAGTAAAGGAAAACTCTGTACATACAATAAGAACGAACCGAGCCCAAGTCCAAGTCCAACTGCTTAAAAGCCAATTCAAAACTGAGTCAAATCGAAGCCTACGAAAAACGATCGAAATATTAAAAACGATATATATATATATGCATATATGTATATCAAGTGCATACGTTATCATTTCCATTAAAACCAAATAGAATAGAAAAATGTCGAAAAATGAGTTCGGTATTTGCAAAGTGAATTTCATTTGCTGAATGATCAAAACCCAAAACAGAAATTGTAAAAATAAATAAAACAGAAAAAATATAGAAAACAAAAGAACTTCTCCCGCTGTTTCATTTCCAACATTCCGTAATTACAGGGTATTCGCATGCATTGCATACTTTGCTGCCAACTGCCAAGCTTTCAGGTCAGCGATTGCCTTTTTGTGCTGCATACTTTCGGGATCAACTAGTCCCGGGTAAAGATATTTGGGAGAGGTTTATGGGATGGCTGCGTGAAGAGTTTGTCATCAATCTGAACACATATATATATATATAGCAGATGGAGTATTTTTCGATTTGCCACGTTCCACGTTTAAGCCCAATCATCCACAAGCCAAGGCAAAGGTGCAGGTGCAAGTAGCGAGCGTTAGTCTAAATTGAAAGACAACATTTAGCTTTTGAAGTAAAAGGCTCACACATTTATTAATTTGTTAATTATAGTTAATTTGTTTAATAAATACACGCACATTAATAATACAATAAAACGTTCTCAATTTATCAATATGCTCGTAGATAGTTCAAAAAAGCGTTGCTATCTTTGTCTAATACTCTTCCTTTCTCTCTCTCTCTCTCTCTCTGTGCCTGTCTCTGTCTGGCGTTGGCCTCGTGTGTTTAGCTAATGCCGAAAAATACGTGTAAACAAATCACAATTCATTAATTGCGTTTCTCATACTCATTTATTCAGTTGTGAATACGATTCTTGAAAATTTGTCACCTTTTGCAATAAACGTTAGCTAATAAATTTTAGTTATTTTGATTTGTTGTTAATAGTTAATAGTTAATATTACTTAATATGCGCCGACAAAACCAATAAAGCCAAAGCAACGCATTGGACCAATTTGTGTTGGGGGCCAACCGGTATATCTCTATGCATATATATATATATACGTCCAGGTCTATGCCTGCCTCCATCTAAATACATATACGTATTTATCGGTATTGTTTTGTAAATTTAAAACAGTTTTACTTAAATATGAATATAGTATAAGTTGTAGTTGAAATATTATTATATAACTAACATACGTATGTATCTTCAATCTTCAATCTTCAATCTTCAATCTTCAATCTTCAATCTTCAATCTTTCAATTCCTAAATGGAATGCATAGCTAATAACGCACACATCTAAAGAGATTTGCTTTTTGTTAAGGCTAAGAAATTACAAGCTATTTAAGTATTGGCGTAGAATTTGTTCATAGGTCTTCTTCATTAACCTAAATTAGTTCTTTTTTCATATATATTTTTTTTAATTTTTTTTGGTTTCGTTTTTGAAGTGCTAAGAAAGTTGCTCCTTCGCTTAGCTTTCGGGACGAGAGCTTTAAGTTTCGTTTGATTTTTGCTATGTTTAAGTTGCAAAGTTCCTTTAGGCAGCTTTTAAGTAAACAAGTTCATGTGAACGAACCAGTTGCAGTTGCAGTTCATTCGACTGCAGTTTGTTATTGGTTCCAGAGATGTGTGTATGTGTGTGTGTGTGTGTGAGTGTGTGACTGTGTGTGTGAGTGTGTGTATATCTAGTTTAACTTATCTCTAATGACTGCAATGTGCGGCACCTTTGGGATGCTGGCAAAAAGTTGTTGAGGTAACGGTAACAGTAACGGTAAACGGCAAAAGCTAAAGCGGCAATTCAAAAGGTTCAAATTTGCAAGTTACATGATTTGCCATCAAATCAATCTCCATATAGTATATTCATATATATACGATATAAGAGCCATGATTTGTTGTTAGGTAAGCAAAAAAAAAAAAAAAAAAAAAAATATAACAGTCTGTTTAGCTAATCGAATGTGCTGGCCGCAACAATTTGCCGCCAGTCGAAGCCACTAAATACATACAATAAATAAAGTGGGAGGAAAGCTAATAATAATTATAAAAATACGAAAAAAAAGTGGAATAAACAACCGAGAAACTCCTGCAAATATCACGCATGAGCAGCAAAATGTAAGTCATAGCCACATCAAGATCCACATTGACCTCCAGCTTCAGTGGGCACTTAGTCACGGAGTTCACTCAATGCCAAAGGTGTTGGTCTCCTCGACGGCCAGCAGCAGCTTCTCGTAGAGCAGCTCTGGCGTGGGATAGGGCGGCAGGTCCAGGCGGTTGAAGCAGGTGTGGGCGCGTGGCAGGGCATTGGGCTTGCCCCACTTCTCGATGCAGAAGCGTCGTGGTCCGGTGGAGCCGCGCAGCGCCGAGAAGCCCTCGTAGGGGATGCTCGATGTGCCGGTGACGAATTGCAGCAGACGCAAACGCTGCTCGTTGCTGAAGCGCTCGATCACCTGCCAGAACCAGATGATCACCTGGTGGTTGTCATGGTAGCCTGAACGATATTCGGTGTTCAGGCGCCAGTCGTTCGTATCGATCTCGGCTGTGCCGGCTATCACCAGCTCCAGTTCGCGGGCATCAAAGACGGAGACAAGCCGCGAGTCGACCACCTCATAGAAGCCGCGCACCAGCGACTCCGTTTGCTCCTGAACGCCGCGCTCCAAGCGCCACTTGATCATGCGCTCCAGATACTCCTTCTTGTTCTTCTCATTCACAATCAGATTCTTGCCGCCCGGCTTCAGTTCGCGCTCGACGACACGCCCCAGCAGCTCCTCGGTGACGCAGAAGGTGAGTCCCAGGTCGATGCCAGTGCCGATATCGTTGTCGCGTATCCACTGCAGCGACTGATGGAACTCGTTGTCCAGCGACTCCAGATCGCTGAGGGCCACCGGCAGGCGCAGCAGCGCCTTGTAGAAGGGTCGCGTGAAGAAGGCGTCCAACAGGTATTGATGGACCAGCGCCAGACCCAATACGCGCCCGCTAAACCGAAACCAGTCGTGGCAATTGTCCACGAAGGCCGACAGCGGCGACACCTGCACCGTGTACGTGTCATTGGCTGAGTACTCGAACAGTCCGTAGTAGGGATTGAACAGCTCGCGCGACAGCAGAAAGAAGAATTCGCGCGACGGCCCGCCGTAGTCCAGGCCCTCCTCGGTGTCCCACAGCACGGCTAGACGCCCGCGCTGCAGATCCTTCTTGTTGGCCGACATAATCCTGCGGAATGCGTCCTCCAGCAGATGGCTGCGTCGGATGTGCAGTCTGCAAAGGGAAACGAATCGAAAATTGGTCGAGTTCTCAGCTGGTCTTTGGTATTCACTTACTTCAGCTTATGCGGACCCTGGCCGTAACCCTTCGACTCCAGTTTGCGATAGAAGCTGCGCAGCTTGGCCTCAAAGTCTCGACGGAATGGCGGCGGCGCACGCTGCGGCATACGCGTGCTGAGCACCGGGGAGCCCTGCGGGCTGCGTTCTTCAATAGGAACATAGCTCATGATCTCCTGCTCGAACAGGCTGAGGGCGAGCGAGAGAGCGGGAAAGCATTTAATGTGAGTTACATATATAGGCATCATCTATCAAGTTAACTAAAATCGGAGCTGCCGATAATTCATGGAGTCACGCCAGACAAGTTAGTCACTTGCCTGGCCTTAAGTTTTCTAAGCTATGCAGCTAAGCTGACAACCAAGTAATGAGACGTATTAACAAGCAGCAAGCCACTCGGCGGCAGTCGGGTCGGGTCGGGTGCTAGCGGCTGTCACATACTCGTTCGATTCTGCAGATCATGCGAAAAGATAGAAAAGGTGTAGCAAGAGCGAAAAGTATGTTCTTGAAGGTATAAATATTAATCGATTAATCGATTTACTTTTCATAACATTTACGCTCCAATCCTTGATCAAACTTTGCGACATTATACATAATATTTGCTAGAGCTCTAAAGCACTCATCGATTATCAGTTATCGGTTATCGAATTATCAAAATAAGTGTTCAGAAATGAATACAAGTTGTGAAATAGTCGAACCAAGAGCTTTATAAGAATTCCCCTCGATTACCAATACTTACCAAAAGGCGAGAAGAGTTCATAACGATAATAATTTTCAATTATTTCACAAATTTCATTAAATCGATAAGAAATTTCATTACTTGGGAGTTGCTCGATTAGATTAGCTCATCAGAGAGCATGAGACATAAAAGTGGAGCAATCTCGAATCAACTATTGGACGAGAGATTATCGAAGAGAAGTGAAAGCTTCTCAAAGAAAGGTAGAAACTGTCTAAAGGAAGAATTATAAATTGAAACTTAAACTTATTAGAGATGGCTTCCAAGCATGTTCCCTGCAGTCATGGGGTATATTAGCTCCTGTATACGACAGGCAAAGAGAAGCTTGACGAACTCTATAAAGTATATATAAAGGGGACGGCTAGGTCAATCATTGATCTCGTTAGCTTAACAAGGCTAGAGATGTGGAATTGAATAAATATATCTTTTTGAAGTTCAAGTTGATCAGTTCCATCTACTTCTCATTTCGTTTTCTTTATGTACACACAAATGAAATGTCCTTAGGATTGTAAGACTTGTTCCAAAGCTCCTTAATCGCACATCTCTCCTAGTGGATGGCTGTATGCTTGTCCACATACATAGAGCAAGAGCTCTGGCAACTGGACGCAGTGTTCGGGGTATCTACTAGCCGAGCACACCCGACTGGAGCACTCATACTGGTTTGTCACGCAGCCAAAGCTTGAGCACTGTTGCATCTATCGAATATGCAGCGATCGATATGTTATTCGATTCGCGTAGCGCAAGCAAATTAATTTGCACCTGTCCATGATTTTCCATTTAAAGTTCTGTTTGCTGTAACATTTGCATCGATGAGTGAGGAAACCAGAATACAGCCCAGAAGGGGGTAAGGCGCAGCCGGAAGAGTCGCAGCTAACCGCAGCGCAGGCCTTGTCGAAACTTTTCCCAACGGGCCCAGCTGCGCCGTTTGGTCAGAAATCGTAGGCTTCAATAGTATCGGGAAATACGAGTATTCTAATTGCCGACTCATAATTTGTGTTGCGTTTTACTTTTGTTTTTTGTTCTCGCTTACTTTTTGACCTTCAACTTGAATTTCGAAAATTGGCCAATTAATAATACAAATTATGGCGATCGGGCACTGCCAGCGATCAATACTCCGGCTGTGAGGGGCCCGAGGGCGAAGGGTAGGCGTGTCCGTGCACTAGTGACAACAGTTTGAATGCAATTAACGCCTCTTTCGCGCGGCACGGAAATGACTAATTTCCAAAACCACCGAAATAATAATAAATAAAACACAAATAAACAAGAAAGCTTCAGTTGGGAGTGTCCGACTGGCAAATACCCTGAATCAAACACAGCACAGAGCGTACTGTTCGCCAATTATGATATTTTCCTCTACTCCAGGAACCGAACCTGAGCTACTCACACTCATCTGCCAGCCACGCTGCTTGCCGTGCACAGTTCATCTCACTTGTGATTCTATTTATAGATTGTATGTGTGTATGTATGTGTGCACATGCACAGAGCAAGTGCGAGCGCCTGCGACGCTTAAGACGTGCTTTCGCCCTGGCACAGCCCCGCTCTCTTAACTAGTTTCAGTCTTACCCGAAGGAATCTAATAACTTATTCAACACTTGAGCGACTTGATCAATTGAATATTTGTAAATTTATTAAAAATGCAAACTCCTTCATATATAGGCAATATTTGCAACTGAGCTTTGACTGTCCACAAAGTAAAACAGATCAAAATTTTATAAACTCCAACTTTAAAGCTGCAAGACACATGATTTAATAACTGAAGTTCTATAAAGGTTTTGATCGATTTTACGACAGTTAGAGGAGTTATCGATTATGTAAAGCAATTCTCTAGATCTCATTGAGTTCAGGTCGACAGATGGACAGAGGGACGGACAGAGCTATACCCATTTTTCCGATCACTAACATATATAGCTCATGAGCTACGCCACGCCTCCCCCTGCACTTTAACAAAGGCAATATACCCCGATTTCCCACTCCCAGAGTGTTTTTTCTTGTTTTTGAAATGGTAACTGATCGGCAAATATAATTTGAGCCGTGTCAAATTACTTTCGAAATTGACTGAATTTAACAAATTATTAACCAAAAAAGAAAAGAAAAAACGGCACAGGAAATTTGCAATTAACTTAAATTAAATGTGGCGCAAAACGCGCGCGCGACTTTAAACGCACTCGCGTTTTGTTCGTCTTGCAGCACATGCGGGTCTCGGCGCCCACAATGGTGCGTGCGCGTGCGCGTGCGCGTGCGCGTGCGTTGCGTTGCGTTCACAGTTCAGCATCGAGCACCGAGAATTCCGGTTAGCGGCAGCTCGAAGTGCATTGCGAACTGATGACACAATGGGTCAGCCGAAATGTTGGGTGCGGTCGAATTTAATTGAATTACGACGAGCTTTACGAGCTTCCGTTCTTGGAGCATGCAGAGATGAGACCAAATGTATAAATACACAGCCCGTATACAAGCACGATATGAGCAGAGCAACCTCTTTAGATATACCTATACACAGTATGTGCCACATGAAAGAACTACTTCTATCGCCTCGAAGGGCTAATGAACTACTTAACACGCCCACTACGCACACTTTATCAGAAGCCAACTCGTCGAGAGCTCACATACATACGCAAACATAATAAATAACGACTTCAGATACCCCTGCCACATGTAGAAAGCTCCAGCTCCAGCTGCAGCCTTATCCGTATCTTGAGTTTTCATTTCGAATGGAAGAGATTGAGCTAATTTTTTTATATATTATATAAAACAAAAAATAACTAAAATTTAATATAACATAACATAACATAACATAAGCTGGGAAAACCCTTGTTGCTCCATATACTGCCCATAATTACATTCTGATTGGTTTCTTATCAGATTCAAAACAGTCCAATTGGCTTATACAACATAATCTAGTAGAGCCTAAAACTGTGTCAATATGATAATTCGAAATTCAACAAGTTATCTAATCAATTTTCAATACATAATCAAATCATACAAAATAATAATTCTACTTAGATATATATATATATATATATAGCTTGGTAAAAATATTATTTAGGTACTCGAAAATCCAATTGCAACTGTGAAACTAGACCGATCACTAGATGGGCTATTTAGGCTCTGCTATAAATAATCTCTCAGATATGCACATGTGTATATATGTGCTATATCCTGTTATATACCTGTGCACTTATCATTTATCTAATTATTTATCTAATGCTTAGAATTTCTTGAGAACACCTCGCTCACACACACACATAAATATATAGATGTTTACTGTGTGATGCACATTAATTCAATATATTCCCTTGCTATCAGCTTCAGTTTCAGCTCTGGGCCAACTTCAGGGCCGCAAACATATTATGACATCGCAACTGAACAAAATTCCATAAATTTGTATACGTATATCCGACGTAGACTCAGAGTGTAGGAACATATGATACCTCTTATGCTGGTCTTGTTTCCGCAACTACAACTTACTTGGCCCACATGACATTGTAGCTGAAGCTGAACTTGGAAAAGAGTCCCATTTGATGCCCTAGTGGATAGTGAAATGAACAATATTTAATAAAGTCACAGAATTTGGGGTAACAGAGTTTTTAACGCCCGACAAAGACCGAAAGCCGAAGACCAAAACAGAAAACCTTTTAACGAAAGCGATGCGACTGTTTTCTGGTAACTGGACTGCGGCGCAGGTTCTCGAGGCGCGTAGGCGTTGCAGTTAGCGCCGTGCAGTTAGAGCGAGAGGCAAGGCGACAGGGCGAGAGCGAGGCCCGATAGCTGCTCTGATAAGCATACGGCACGATAAAACCATTGTCGGGTCTACGAGTATTACGAATTTAATAACAAAACGATGTCGCAAGTAAGCCCCAACATCAATAGCAGAATCGGACGCAATTGCTCTGCCCGAAGAAGGGCGGCTGGGGGTTGGGGGCGGGGTGTTGTTGCGCTATTGGGGTAATCCAGCAGAACAACACATGCGACCACTGGCAGTTGCAACAGTTGAACGATTGCCATCAATTTACGACTGGGCAGCCCCAATTGGGATTCGAGTTCGAATCGAGTTCGAAAAGGGCCGCGATAAGCGCTCAATACTTTTCGTATTGCTTTGCGTGAAATACGAGCGAAGGAGACTTCAGCCTGAACTCTCGCCAGATCCTTGAGACACCAGTTAGACTAAGTAATCGGATCTAAGAGCATAAAAACAAAACAAACGGGAAAAACAAAACAACCTCCAGCAGTGCAGATGTGTGACAAATGGGGTATATTGGCTGCAGAGGCAGAATGCGACAGTCCGTGCCTGCGCGAGAGCTATAGAGGCATGGCAACCCAATTTACTTCAGAGCTCAGCTCGGATATCTGTGTCCACACATGTATAGGGTATCTCTCAGTGGCTCACTTACAGCCAGAGCGCTCGCTGCTAGTTCTCATCGCATTAGAATTGCAAACGTTGACCACGTTGATAACGGAT